TTAGAATATAATGAATCTATACTTGGAATTTATCCGAATATATGGACTTTTAAGACAGGTTGATTTTATATAATTGCAATAATTTAGTTATTTAAGACTATTTATTCACATTTGTATTTCATCAATAGATGATTTATCGTATAGACCGCGTGCAGGTAATATGATCGAAACTTATAAGGTTGATAGTTATTGAAATGCATAACGATAATATTAAACTTATGATTAAATTAGGTGACATATATGGAACTTTGCGACTAACAATCAATGGAACTAACTATTTTCGGGAATTGAACGACGATGAAAAACATAAATTTTTCGATACTTTGATAAATGAACTTACAGAAAGAATTCCCACAAAGAAAGGAAGATTGAGTACAACTGCATATTATCAATTTGATACATCCGATTCATCGAAAGCTATTATCCCGCTTTTTATTAGTGAGACAAGAAATGATAACGACAAAATGACTGCCACATACATATGGGAAAATTTAGACCTGTTAATAATGAATAAAGAATATACGAATATATTAACAGGATCTACTACAGTTAATCTAGATGAAGCTTATGGATATCGCCGAACTAGTAAGAACTATATTTTTTTTGATTTATTTATTCTGGTTTAAATAATTGTTTTTATTTATCTCTTTTTAATAGTGAGCGTATCAGATTGCTTTAACTTACACAAGACAAAGTTCATTGCCGTAGCTATTTTTATATTTGCATTCTCAGGAGCCTTGGGAGTGTCTAAGCGTGCTAAAGCTAGAGCCAAAAAGAAAACCGAAGAAACAGGGAAAAAGACAGAATACGAAAAGGTAATAATTTTTCTTTAGTTAATTTTTTAACTACTTTCACATCTAATATACACAAAAATATATAGAGCGAAAACTTTATTATTCTCCAACTTGGTATTGCCCTATTTCGTTTTGGCACCTTTACAGCATTTGTTGCTATTGATTCCAAAGCCATCCCATATCTTTTTATACCGAGGTAAGATTATTTATTGCTTAATTAATATTAGATAATTATCTATCATTAAATTTATTTTTTTCATATAATTAGTGTAGCATTTTTAGTGATTCCTACAGTAATTAACTTATTTATAGCATTTGGGATATTATTTTCTGATCAGAGCCAAAAGAGTTATCAGAAGGATATTAAAGAGGACGATAAGAAGAATAATGAGTATGAATATGCCAGATGGTTTGCTAAACATAGAAGAGTTGCCGTTACGATCGCATTATTATC